AATGAAAAAATAAAACCTTTAGACATGGCTTATTTTTTCTCATTGTTATTGTTTTAGTAGGTCGTTTAGTCTGGAAAAGAATTAGCGCTACACAAAATTTTATGCATGTCCGCTGCGCCGCCTTGACGTCAAAATCCATTTTGTCGTCGTTCTCAGATTTCTTGAATTTATTTATGATCTCCGTATTTCTGAACGAAATTCTAATAAACTTGCACAAAATGAAGTCAAAATAAAATTGAAAAATTATATACATAAATTGAATTATTTTCGCTCTTACTGTGGGTCCACCGGGAGTTTGAACGTTGGTGTTACATATTTTCAATAACTCATTTCGTGACTGCGCCGGGTACCCCTACCATTGATACATTAATATACATGTACCATTGAAAAGAAGAAATAAAATATTAGTTAAATATTTTTTGCTTTTATAAATTCTTAGTGTTTGTTAAACGTATATCAAATTTTCACTGAAAGACGTTCATTACAAAGAAGAATATACACAATGTCTCAATAATTTCCAAACAGCCCTCGTATTTAGTCATTTTAATTTTGATTCCTAGTTAATCATATCGATATGCGCAGTTAGACCATCTCAGGGAGAAGCGTCGATATCCAAATGTGTGTTTGAGGGAGAAGGGGGGGGGCAGAGATCATTGAAAAGCAAAGAAAAAAAGAAAAAATGAATGCGAATGAAAAAGCATGAATCGGTAAAAGTTCAATCTAAAAAAGAGAACCTATCTATTTTTTTTTTTGGGACGACCATTATATATATATATATATAATTCTTTGCTAAATTAACATCAAGAGAATATGCTAAAGGGAAAAACGGAAGAGGGAGATGCCACGGAAATTTTGCAAAAAATAAATTGTGATAAAAAAAAAATTTTGAAATGATCATATAAACACATTTTAAAAAAGTAGTGTCCGATACAAAATACTATCATATGAATTTTCTTAAATTGTTCCGATAAAAGCTGACTTGAAATTTATTGCAATATGTTTAAGAAATAAATGCAGCTAATGTGGACTTTTTCCAAAAGCATTATGATCAATGCTGAAGAAAATAACAATTACATCGACGGTGATAGTAGGATTAAAATATTTATGAAACAGAAGAAACAACAGATTAAACAATAGATTAGGCTGTCAAGAAATTACAAACGTCTGATAAATGTTGAAATGGCGACATCTTTTGAGAATAAATCACTGAAAGATTAGTAACAAGTGTTTATGGGTGTCATATTCAAATGTTAAGAAAATGTTCAAAAATATCAACAACAAGTCGTAAGACAACAAAAACAATCAAGAAATCTTCATTTTGAGAAAGATTAAAAGAAATTAACACTGGTGATGTTCCGAGCGAACTGCTGAATTCATGTACATTTGTATGTAATAAATTAGTCACATTTCGTGTGGAAATCTTGGACGTCGAGTCTCAGCTCTGATATCTCGATATCCCGGATATCTCAACATTTTTTGGAAAGTTCCGTTGATGTCGGGATACTGAAGGAAGAGGATTAAACAAGCACATACATCTTTCTGATTTCAAAGAAAAAAAATATTGCTATTTCAGTGGTGTGGTTACAGGCAAAAATAAGAGTCATGTTCTTTAATTTCGAGATTTTGACAAATTGTTATTTTTTGAAACAATAACTAGGAAGAAATGGTTTGTATAATTTATCTTTAGATTTCAAGACAAAATCAGATACTACGTCGCCTATGAAGGTCAAGTTAGAGTGGAAGGGTTACAAACATTCAATGGGATATTGCTTAACCGAATCGCCTCGTATACAAAAAAGTATAAACATGTGTGTTGGACGTAATATTTAATTCTTGTTTAAGAATATAATTTTATGTACATTTCATCGCACCGAAATATATATGAAAGCTTAGGTGTCAGGTTAGCTGATACCACAGAGGAAGATGATCAGAGGACCTTAATTATGTTAAAATACATATATTCAAGCAGGACCGTAGCTACAGTTTCAAAAGTTGGGGGAGGGGGGGGGGGCTTCCTCCAAAAATATGACAAGCAAAATGAAAAAATAAATACCAACACTGACTCAAGAGTGTGGTGTTGGGGGGGGGGGGGTCTTCTTAAAATAATCTGACAAGCAGAAAAAAAGGAAAACCTTATCTGTAAAAATCCTGGAATTTGCCAGTGCTCCACATTACAACAAAAATCAAAATTTGGGGGGGGGGGGAGGGAGCATTTATAAAAGGAAAATTTGCTATATCAAATTACTATACTCAGAAAAAGTGGGGGCAGGCCCCCTCTCCCCCCCCCCCTTCATTCTACGGGCCTGTTAAGTCTCGCAAGATATTCGGTTTCAATTTCTAATAGATTTCATAAAAAATGTAATGCAACCGTATTTCATTTCGCTCAGAAAAGTCTGTTTAGTATGAATATATATTTGAGCAGTACAAGCATCTCTTTGATCAATTTATACAATATATACGTAAACGATAATGTTCGTTTGGTTGTTTTGTTTTAAATTAACGGCCCTTTTAAGAAATGATGAACGATAATTGATGTGTTCAAGTGATAAAGCAGTAGCGTCGAGGGTACAGCTGCCTCAAAATAAAACAAAAGTATAGAAATATTTATAACCGTTTTTGATTAAGTGTGATTTACTTAAAAAAGTAAGAAGTTGACAAAAAATTTAAACTTTCATGTACTGAATGAACGTTCCTAAAACAATCCTTGACATCATTATGTGCCTCTGTGAAAATATTTTTTTTTATATCGGGATCGATGTGCTCTTTTGCGAGGGGATGCCCCGCTTTAATTGAACGAGGTGCCCCTCTGGGAAATCTATATAGATTTTTTTAATATATATTTTAATATTACAAGTACTTTATATCTTTTATAAAATGAGCTAGAGTATTAATTATAAAAAGAATACACTGTTGGGAATTCAGCAAGAATTAATATTTCGACTGAATAAAAACCGTTCCTAGATCCTGTCTAAACCCCCACTCCTCCCTTTACAAGACTAGTAAATCTGCTCTAATATAGTATGAAAATAGTATGCAACTTCCCTCATGAATAATCACATACTAGTTGCTTGGAAAAAAATAAATTCTCAAGTTTATATGTGTCAAAACGATAAACGTTATTTTAAAAAATGTAGTTTTAAAGAATGTTTGAGGCATGCGACGTCATTACGTATTCAGTAAATAACGTCAACGTTGTTTTGAAACGGCCTCACTAAAATGCTCATAAAATACTAAAAACGTGAGATATTTTAACATCAATTCTCTGTAAGGACCAAAAATGCTTGGCCACGCACTATCATGGAATTTTATTTTATGTCTATAATATTAGAGAGTGCCCTATATAAAGACTATTGGTGGGTAAATTTTGGACAGTACCTCCTTGGTTTCCATAGCAACGACTTTGAAATATTTTGTCATGGCAAAACTGACCTGATTGTCATCACCATGTAAAATAATTCCGTGCTTCCTTAATGTAGGAAAGTTATGAACATAACATGGGTTTCATTTTACAGCTAAGTAATCAAAGTTTCTGTGCATCTAAATTTTATTCAATTTAACCCAAGGTTTTTAATATGATACAGATCAATTTACATGAATTTGTCATAAAAATGAATACAAAGGTGCCTATTTCTTGATATGCATATTAAATTTTGCAGGCAATTGAAACTTAGAAAAAAGATCTTTTTAGTAAGATCAAGCTTAGATCTAAAAGATGCAAAAAGATTTGAGGTGGGGAAATCAGTTAAAAGTCATATTCCAATCCCCTCAAATTATAACTTTTCCTAAAAATTAACCTAGAGTTATTTCCCTTTGCTGACTCTTTTGCACTGAAGACAAAAAATTAAACTGGTGTTATTTCCCTTTGTTGACTCTCCTGTATTGAAGTCTAAAGAAGTTTATAACAACATGTGGCAAAAACAGACGCCAGAAAAATAAACATGAAACAATAACGGAAAAATGATGTGTTTTTCAACTTTTTAAATTGGAATTCGGGTGTGAATGGCAAAGGAATTCATCAAATGAAGGAGACACTGTTTTCTCAGCATTCAACTTGATAATGATGTACAGGTCTTTATTATGATAATAGATTTTTAATGTCAAATTCACTTTGCAAAATATTGAAACAAATTTTATGAGGTCTGACTTGCATTGCCATCATGTGGGATTCCATGTACTCTAAAACCCATGAGAAAAATACAAGATGCAATTGGAGGAAAACAACAAGCAGAAGATAGGGCAGTCAGTGGGAATGGTTAGAACAACCCTAGGCACAGGTATGAATTTGAATGTTTTCAAATATTCATTTTGTATAAAAACTACACGTAAGAAGCTTTTTTCAAATAAATTGACATTTTAAATAATTTTTTTTATATAATAGACTTAATTGGTCTATATTCAAAGATCACCATGTTAGCAGGACATTCCAGATATATACATCTTATTAATATATTTGCATTATAGGAATTTTTGCTTGCTTCAGAAAGCAACTTACTTTGGCAAATCATAACAACAAAGTTTATCAAAAGGAGGAGAATATTTTAGAAGATGTAAGTTTGTATGTAATAAAAAATATACACAAGGCTATATAAAAAAATTATATATTTTTGGTAACATTGTACACAGTGGCGGTTCCAGGAATCTTGAAAAGGGGGGGGGGGACCAGTGTGGTCTCGGGATACTGGCTCAAGGCCACACCAAAAAAATTGATTTATTAAATCTGAAATCTGATGTATATTTTGGACACAAAGGGGGGGGGGGAGGGGGGGGGGCTGGACCCCCCTCTAAATCCGCCATTGGTACAGTTTAAAATCTAATTTGGCCAAAAAAGTAGTTGGTGGTGGGTAAAAATTAGAGATGGTCGACTTAACGGAAACACATAAAAAAAAATTTTAGCCTAAAAAGAAGTCATATAATTCCGATTCACTGTAAAAGAACAAAACATATTTAACTGCAGCTATAAATACAAACTAATAAGATAAAAATATAATATAATTTAGGACTGTGACACAGGAGCATCACTTATGAAAGGTTGCACTCAAATAGTACAACGATGAAGGATATATGAGCAACTGTAAGTACACTATAATTTAATTAATTCAATTTTCTTTTTTCACTTGATGTATGCTTTATCAAACTTTTAAGATAATCTTAATTCACAAGCAAATTTATGGTGGGTATAATTTATAAATATTCAATCAGAACTTGTTCAGGAAAGTTTCGCTTGTGAGTACAAGTTCAAACATTGAATATGTATAAAATTTATTTAATATGCAATTATATATATATATATATATATATATATATATATATATATATATATATATATATATATATATATATATATATATATATATATATATATATATATATATATATATGAAATAGTGTTGATGACTTGTATGATTATCCCTAATGCATATGATTTATACAAGAAAATTGCATAGGCCTACATGTATAAATTAACTACAAATAGAAATATCCAGTATACAGTAATGATTGATATAGTTGCAAATGCTTGGGAAAGAACCTTTATTCTTGTGTTTTTATCATCATTATTCAACACAAAGGCTATATACCAGAAGCAGGAGGCAGTTACAAAATTAACTAATGGAGACAGAAACCTTGCAATTGACTGTGAGAATTGAACATTGGACAGTATCTTCCCTGAACAATATTCTTTTGGAGAAGATTCTGTTTGAGCATGGGGACAGCTTTTGGAGTAGGTGATGGTAAATTGTTTCAGTTACTTTTATCTTGCGATTGGCTACACTGAAAATACTGTATGTGTCCATAAATTGGCGTATTCAAAATTTAGCGCAATCACTGGGTATGGAGTAATCGTGAATTAGCGCTACATACGTCTGCGGCATGTATTGTATTTATTAATGATTTAGTTAAGGTATTCATTAATTGGTGCATTGTTGTCTGCGTTAAAGGCAATAAAATATGAAGAACAGGTGCTTGGGAATGGGACCCCCTCCCCCGCGTTCCATACTCCAAGGGTTCTCCCCGACTTTTTTTTATAATAAAATACATTTCTATTACACATTCACAAAGTATTACAATTCAAAAATCCAAAATATAATCTAAAACTAACCTTTTATTAAAATTCATAATCTCTGATACTAAAGTTCTCTTTTAGTATCCGAGAGTATGAATTTTTATAGGGGGGGGGGGGGGGGGGTCCCGTCCCCAAGCACCTGTGATATGAAGCCTGCTTTTTAAGTACACATGCAGGAATTTTGAGGCAATTTATTTCAAGATGTAAATACTAACTACTAGCTTAGTATTATATACATTTTGATAAAAATAGATATGCTTATATACTTGTATTTGTTATCACATGAAAAATGTAGTAGATATTAAACAATTGATTTTTGATTAAAGTATACATGTATGTTTTTTTTTCAGGGGAAAAGATGAAGATGATTATTTCAAGTATCACTTTTCAAACCCATTTAAAATTCTTCTTGACTGGTCAGACACAACACCACATAATGGTCAACCTCTGATGTAAAGAGAAATCATGGAAACATCAAGCCTAGCTGTTCCTATTGTCTACAAAATTGCTATATAGCAGCTATTTTCTACATTTTGTTTATCTCTAAATACACATTTTGGATAATGTTTAGATGTAGATTATTGCTTGATTAATAATTTGAAAAAAAAAAAACAAACTGTTTTTAAAAGTAACGATAAAATTATACATATTCACATGAATATGTGTATGTTTTCTGATTGTAAGACTATACATTAATGGTATTATTTTTAATGGGGTCTTAATTTATGGTCAGTCTAAATAATTCTAAATTTCTTTAACCAAATAAAATTGACATCTAAAGATTTGCATCTGGGAACAAGCAAAATTTAAAAGGAGGAAATTAACATTAGCTTATCAAATTTCAAACCTGCTAAATTAATACACTGTATCTACCTACCTATGCATGAAAAACTAATAATTTATTATTTATTTATCATTTTTGGTTGAAAAGTATCATTAGAGTTTTAATCCATTATCTTTTTCCATTTTTTACCTAGTATTTGAAAATGTTGTTTACTGAAATAAGTTCCAGTGAAAAGTTGAATAGCTAATTTTCATTAGATTTTGAGTTATCTGCCCTTTGTAAAGGATCATAGAGAAACAATAATAATTCATTTAATTTTGTTTTATCCTATTTATTATCTTTAATGATATTTACTAATCATTCCGTTTGTCTTATTTATTAGTGAGAAAAATGTTTGGAAAAGAAATTTTATAAAACAACCAGTGTCTAGTAACATTTTGAACAAAATATTATTTGGCAAAATGCCAATTTTCGAAGTTAAAAATACCGAAAACGAAAAAAATCCCCACTCCACTTTTCATAAAAGTTAACTAATATTATTATGGTGTTTTTAAAATTTCAGGTGATTTTTTCTTGAATTGCCTGCATTTCTTGAAAGACTTCTTGAAATATAGGGTAAAAACGACCATTTTCAAAATGTAAGAATTTGGTCATCTTTGAGCCATCAATTGAAGAATTTGCAGGTGACTTGTAGAATTTTTTTTATTGTGTTATATAGTGCTTCATTTGTTCTATTCATATAATGTATGAATTATCTCAAAATAATAAAGATGATTAAACCACAAGAAATCAAGTATATAGCATTTTTATGCTTGAATTGAGAGTAAATGGGGACAAAATCTATATTGGCCCGTTACCATGGCAACCAAGGTAGTAACTTTAATTTTGAATGTTGATTATGTCATAGTGTATGGGCATTAATCAACTGAAAAAGTTTCATGAAAATCGCTCATGGTGTGTGCCACAGCCCTACAGTAAAATTTTGGTCCTTACAGAGAATTGATGTTAAAAATTGATGTATATTTGTATTCAGAAAGAGTCAGGCTATCAAAATTTATCAAAAAGTCAATTTGTGAAATTTTGACCTTAAGGGCCCTTTTCTCATGACGGCAGTCATATATATATATATATATATATATATATATATATATATATATATATATATATATATATATATATATATATATATATATATATAATCTTTTAAATCCCTGAAGTATCAATTCATTCATTCATTCATGCAGAATAAAATTCTGACAACCAGAATAAGAGTTAACCTATCAACTACTAGAATAAAAGTGAAACATTCTCTAAGGATTTTAATTCCACGTGTCCAATATGTAGTCCATAACATGGCTGAAATGCATTTAATTTTATACCTGCGTATGAATTCAACTTACATTGAATTCTAATCTCATTTTTCATTAAAAGTTAACACACAATGTTAAAAATTCAACTCTTCTATGATGTAAACAGACTGGTAAATGGAAAATATTGTTTCTTATTTATTTCAAACAAGAGAGGGGTCTAAACGTAACCCCCCCCCCCCACACACACACACACATACACACACTTGTATGCATCCTTCTTTTGCTTTTATAGATAAAATGGAAATCCCATATTCATCTATATTAACTTCAATTTTTATCAAACTGTAAATTCTCCATCTATGTTTAAATTATTCATGTGTCAAAATATTCATGTACAGTGATCATACATGTATAAAACGTTTTGGTTTGATTCGAGGAAATGCGCACTGAAATTGTTGACGTAGTAATAGATCTAGATGGTCGGATACGGCCAGTTTGCCGCATACATGTATAAGATATTCATGAATTCGGACCATTTCAGTAAACAATTCTATTACATTTTCGGTACTTACTCAGTATATATTATAGTTTTAAGTTCCTGAGTTCATCGAAAATGTGTCTTCATAACTGTTCGGGAAACAGGAGGAAATAACTCAAGAAGGAGAGGGGAAAATCTCCCACATTTTTAGAGTTGTTCATCTTTGATCAGTGAACTTTTGGAAACGGGTTGTAAAACATTTCTTTTTTCTAAAGGTAGTTCTATACTCGGCACTAAATGGGCTCAATCTTGAAAAATCTGCTTTTATAACATAGACATATATCTCAGCAATAGAAAAACATAAGACAAATTATATGTCAAAATGTTTATTTTTCGGCTATTGCCTCTCAGACTATATACCCCAAAATCCAAAATACTGAAAATGTACCTGTCCACGATTTTGTCTATATACATGTATATATAAGAATAAAAATCTAAACAGTCAACTTTGATACACGAAATAGAATAGAAAAATGTTAAGGAACCAAATTTAATCATTGTTTTGCTTGAATTATTTTAAATATGTGCACTTTGATAGGCTAACGTATCAAAATTTTGTACGAGAAAATATGCTTCACAGGTCAATCTCGGTCATTTTTTAATATTTTTATGGACTCAATTTTCAACAATTTGCTTTCTTTTTACATAATAACATCTTAAAAAAAGAATAAAGCAAAAAAAAAAAAATAATATGTTCACGCATTACTTTTCACAATATGGGCTGTGAACTAAAGGTACCCCAATGAAATTTCTCTTCGAAAAGAAAGATATTGCCACATTTTACAATAATGCAGCTAAAGTTTGAGTGTAGAATTGTATTTACAAAGTTGCACATATCTAAAACAATAATAATACACACCCAATACCTACTGTCCCTAAAATTTATCTTGTTTTACGTAAAAACAAAAACAAAAAAAAAAACTTGTCAGTAAATTAGAGACAATGATTCAGAACATGATTGACTGATTCTCACAAACTGGATGATCTTGTTACAGAAAGTAAGTATGCTGCAAGTGAATCAACTATTTTCATATACTAGTTTTCTAAAGATATTTTTGCATTGTGATTAAATGTGATGGGTTTGCAGGGAGGGAAGGGGGGGGGGGTGCGTCTAATGTGATAATTATTCAAGATAAATATTGCAATGTTTGAAATAATAGCGAGCGGAGCGAGCGGCGCGAAGCGCCGCTCGTCACTGCGAGCTCTAACGACAACGCCTGGGCGAAGAGAAAATTCAGACTACTGCACATTCATTCAATAGAATTTTTTTCCGCAGTAATTCTGACCCACAATGCATCGCTTCTTGTTCTCGCTGCTAACTTCGTTCACGCGGTGACAACAACTAAAAATTCACACAAAATAAACTCACCTTAATTTAATGGATATTGCATGCAGATAGTAGATTAAACGTTCTTTGTTAAAATATTTGCACTTTTTAAACTTTGTTTATGGAAATGCAGCTAACATACGACGTCATGTGACGTCACAGTCTAGCCGTTCCAAATGCCTCGTGCGGTTTGAAGAGGCGGATCATACATGTAATAATAAAGTGAACACTGCGCTCGCCCCAACGGTCGCACCGTCAACATATTAAAATTTGTCACTGTCAAATCGTATCAACTCCTTTTCTTGCTAACTATCAGTGTTAGCTTTTACTTGTCCGCCGACAATAGTCTGTCTGTCGGATCGATTTGATAAGCTGATACATGTAGCACACTCGTGCTCCATGTTATCGGCATATTCTCATCAACAGAAATGTCGTTTATATTATATCTTTATTACCTTATGTCTTTCTGTCAACCGAAAGTTATTTCCAGCCTTCCCTTTTTAAATAATTTCCGGATATTTAAAACGCCAAGTAAAAGTCAAACCAATATAGTTCAAAAATCACAACTCGGAAATAAGAAGTGTGATTCCGGTTTTACTATTCGTTAGTGACGTAGTGCGAATATTGATCTACTTTAAAAGGAGAACAAAACAGTATTTATATGGCTAATTCTTAATTTTAAGATAGTTCCGTGATCTGGTAATGCGAATGTTACATAGCCAACTGTAAGAAAAAAAAGCAATGTATCATAAAAAAGATAAAAAAAATATTGTTCTGCTAATATTGAATCAAGGATACGTTTCATATAAAATTAAAGAAAGAGCCATAGGTGCCTTACCGACGACACGGCCGACTCAAGAATTTAGAAGGAAATCACCTGTTTCTATTTATAGAGTGCCTTTTTTCAATTCAAGATCAAACTGTGTAATATGATTTAAGGACGAGTGTTGTATTTTCATAGTTGCAAGTTTGTCAAATGGCAATCATTTTACTGACTTGTTCAGTACTCTAATTCTGAGACCAAAGATTTAGAAAATTAAAAATAAAACACGTAGCTATGAATTTACAAACTTTAATAAAATAGTTTATAGGACTGTCTTTTCCCGAGGTACTTTCAAATTGTAAAGTGTATATTATAACTTTCTGAAATTATGTATATTATAAAACAAAATTAAAAAAAAAATGTTGAAAAGATACACAAAGAAATAAATTAAAATAGCATAAATGGAAAAACGTGGGGCTCGAACTCGCACTCATCATATTTACATTCCAGCAATCATACCACTGCGCCAACGAAGTCAATGATGTCGAACAGATAAATTTAAGACAGATTGCTAAATCTTACGATTATATGAGGAAAAAAAATGAATGTATATTTTCATCTTTTTTAATATGAAGACCACCTTTAACCAAAATTTTCTAAATGTAATGAAGTGCAGTCATATCAAAATAAAATTATTCAAAAGTTGTTTTTCTGGTTAACAGTGGTCTTTGGCAGCAGTTTGTCATCATTAGATGG